GAACCCCAGGGGCGGCTGCTCCAGCCCACGCCCGCCGCGCCGTCCCGCCTGCGCCCGACCGCGCCTGGGGGCAGCTTCCCTCCTCGGGCGCCTCAGGCTGCTGTCACATTCCTCAGCTCCGCCGGGTCGCGTCTACCTCTCGGCTGCTGCCTCTGGGTCCCGCGCCCCACGCCCCTCTTCCCGTGCCATGCCCCTTCTCTTCCCGGTCGTACTCGGCAGACACTTCAGCGGAGCCGGGCGGCAGTCAGCGCCCAGGAGCCAGCGGAGCCAACTTACGTTGCCTAGCAACGGGCTGGACTCTTCCGCCTCCGCCGCCTCCTCCTCCGGCTGCTGGGAAGAGAGGTACCAGCCGGGCTCGACATTAATGACACCCCAGGGCGCCTCCATGCTGCTCGCTGGCCGACTACCAGGGCCATCTGCGAGCTCCTACCCCTGCCCTCCAGCTGTTACTCGCGCCAGAGGCGGAGCTGTGGGCCCGGCCCTTCCGGGTGCCCGTACTTTACCGGGGCCGGGAGATCGGCGGGAGGCGGCGCGACCTGGGGACGCTTGCTCTTCAGCGGCGAGCCCTGATGACGTCATCGAGGGCCAGCCCTTCCACCCGCGACGCGCCTCCGAGCTGCACCGGAGCATGAGGTGAGGGGTCTGTCTGGTCCCGGAGCAAGATGCAGAGCGACACCACGAATTAGGAGGGTGACCTTGGTGAGGTGGCCGCTGCGGGGCCCTTTTTAGTTCGTAGCGGCGGAGGGCCGGCTGGGGGTACCTGCCTGCCGGGCTGCTCTCCGCCTCGCGCTGCCCGGGCGCGGAAGCGTCGCGAGGTCGCCGGTCGTCAGCCCGGGCGCTGAGCCTAGGTCCGCGCGCTGGGTAGGGAGGACCGGTTCCTTCTTTTCGAAAGCCTTCTGACAGATCCTTTACACACGTTTTACATGAGGGAAGCCGAGACTCATTAAGTAATTTACCCGGGATCACACAGCTGGTTAACTGCTAGGCCCAATTTGAACCCTGGCTGTGAAGTTTGGTTTGCTTTACAGGGTTTGGGGCAGGGCCCTTTCCTCTTACAATTCTCTCTTTTGTATTCTAGAAGGCAAAGTGAATAACTGATCATTTTAATGGCATGTGTATGTGACACTCGGCAAAGTCCGCGTCCTCAAAATACTGAAACCTAGTTGTAGGCAGGACTTGTGGCAATAAAGCATCGAAGGTAACACTGCAGTATGTTAATAACACAGGCACTGAAGTCAGTCAGACCTGGGTTTTAATCCTTGCGCAGCCATTTACCAGCAAGGAGAGTGGGTGAGTTAACCTACTTCTGAGCTTTAGTTTGCTCATTTACAAAATGAAGGTGTGATACCACACACCTCCCAAGGTGGATGTGTGTAAAGCATTTAGCTTACAATAAGCACCCACAAGAAAATCCTAGGAAATATTGCCATTGGTAAAGCCATAAATATGACGACCATTTCATTTAGAGATAATCCCTTAAATCTCAGTCTTCCAGTTCCAAATGTATTCTGTAGCAAATTGTGGGTGGAGAGGTTCATTAAGTATAGGGAGGTTGATAGATCAGTAAGCCCTCATCGTGGCAGCAGGTGGGTTGAAGGTGCTGGTTTTATTATTGACCACTAATAAAAGTCATTCTGTCCTGGAAAAGATGGTATACCTCTCACACACCACTGAAAGTTTTAATTATTAGCATTTAGTGGGTTATGTAAAACAGCAGAATTTAGATTTTCATTCTCAAAACCTATTGGGAACACTAAGTTGGTTTATAGCTTTATGGTTTTTAAATGAATACTTTTTTTAGGATCTTATGGCGGCCATTTGGATTCTTAAGAAGACTTCTCAAAGTGGAAAGCTGTAGAATAACTGAATCAGAATCATTGAGCCCAATAGCTTGGACATCACTGATACAGAAACTTAGCAGAGCAGCCGGTATTTTCTTGGTGGATCAAAGAAAAAGACTCTCAACCATGCCTGAAATGGAAACAAGTGAGAGAGAGTCAGAATTGTTTTCACCACCCTCTGATGTTCGAGGAATGACAAAACTTGATAGAACAGCTTTTAAAAAAACAGTCACCATCCCAGTGCTTAAAGTAAGGAAAGAAATTGTCAATAAATTGATACGATCCCTTAAAAGGGCAGCATTGCAGCGACCGGGCATAAAACGTGTTATTGAAGATCCAAAAGATGAAGAAAGCAGACTAATTATGTTGGATCCCTATAAAATGTTTACTAATGATTCCTTTGAGGAAGCAGAACTCACTGTTTTAAAGCAGCTTAATGTCAGTCCACAGATATCTAAGTATAATTTGGAACTAACTTATGAAAACTTTAAATCAGAAGAAATCTTGAGAGCTGTGCTTCCTGAAGGTCAAGATGTGACTTCGGGATTTAGCAGAGTTGGACATATTGCCCACCTGAACCTTCGAGATCATCAACTACCTTTCAAGCATTTAATTGGTAGGTATGTCTTAGTAATATTTTGTACTGGAAAGCAATTACAAAGTTCTAATTTTAGTTTTTTAAAATGCCAAATTGCAGAAGTTCAGAGAGAGAGAGGGAGAGAGAGAGAAACATCAACAATTAAGAGAGTCATTGATCTGCTGCCTCCTGCACGCCCCCAACTGGGGATCGAGCCTGCAACCCGGGCATGTGCCCTGACCTGGAATTGAACCCCGACTGCCTGGATCCTAGGTCCACGCTCAACCACTGAGCCACACCCAGCAGGGCTACCTTTTTAATTTTAAGCAGGCTCTTAAGCTAAATACTCTCTTTTGAGGGCCATTCTGAAATAAGCTTTCCAGAGTGTAGCCAGCTTTAAATATCAGTTCAAGCTTTTGTGTACACAATACATAAGCTTAGATAACACTTGAATTACTTGCTTTGGCAGAATTCTTTGGCAGCTGGTCACTTTGGTACACAGGCCTTATTAAGCCTCAGGACTATGTTGAATGCTAGGTTTCATAAATTTGAGTGTTTTATAGTCAAAATTGCAAAACACCGTTTACTCATACTTTGACGGATTCAGCTAACTGAGCCTCTTCTGTATGTCAGTATAAACTTTGTTTTGTAGTGCTCCTGCTCTTTTAGAAACAGTGTTTGTGTATGTTGTACCTCTGGAGCTCCAACTTTGAGCCTGGATCCTTTATTCTTTGGGATAAAAGAAGAGTTAAAAATGAATCAAAACTGCGCGTGTCCTTAAATGAATATTTGATGCCCATGCATCCTCCAGATTATTTTAATGTAGAGTAATTGTCAGAACTTCTGGGAATTATTTTCAGCTTTAAAATGTAGTGGTCAGTATTTTGCATGGGTAGGATTTCAGAAATAGGCTATTATGCATTTCTTTGTTTTATTGATGAAAGGGGCTGATAATGCATAATGATAACATAATAAATTCTTAGGCAGATCTTTATAGTTATGACTGGGTGCAGATGTCAAGTCTAGGTTTTCCTATGAGTCACTGCCTATCCTAACTCAAACATTACATTTGTCAATCCTATTTTATAAACTCTTTCATAAAAGGGCACTTACAGAAGAGAAGTGAAACAGTTTCATACAGTGGTAATTTTTCAACTTTTATTATAGACCTTCAGAATAGGTGTTTGTGGGGATTTTTAATTTGGTTTCTCGTATCAAACTAACATCTTTACCTTAAAAACTGAATTCTGATACCTGATGCAGAACAAGATAAGAACAATGACTGACTAGAATTTATTGATGTAACATTCAGAATCAGGTATCTAGTTAAATATCAGAGAGAAATCAGACAAATTCTGATTGTACTTAAGCATATTTGTATTATGAGTACTTTTTACTAACTTACAAATCAAATTATTTTCCTTATGCAATGAGATAGAATGTAGATTCTTATAAAATTTTTAACTGCTGACAAAAAAAGTAGACCTTGTAAAGGGCATCAATATACCGTTTCTGGTGTATTTTATGTATTATCTTTGTAGCAGCTTCTGCTGTGGCAAATATTTGACAAAAAGAACAATTTAAGTAAATGAAAATTTTATTTAGCTTAAGACTGAAGAATCCGTTTCCTTTATTTGAAAACATTATTTTGCTGTATGTGTTTCCAAAGTGGAGACATGTATTTTAAGTATACAGTAAAACAAACAATTGGTTTGAAGCCAATGGCTACAGGACTGGTGTTTTCTGACACCATTTTTTGCCTCAGGCCTTATAGCTCTTCTTTCTATTCTTCACCAATTCCCTGTGGTCTAACCTTTTTGCTTATTGTAGTACACATGAGATTTAGTAAAAAAAGTGGAAAATAATAGGTAGACCCAAACTCCTCAAAACTGTTTCCTTAGAAATGTACCCATACATTTATTGTGTGTTTCTATTGGAGGCTCTCAGACATTAATTTTTAGTAATCTGTTGAATTAGAATTGCATGTCACTTTACACACACTAAATGCAGTTTTCATTTTTCTTTTGCAATCAATAGGCCACATTTGTTATGAATTCTCATCCTTTCTTTTAGGCCAAGTTATGATCGACAAAAATCCAGGAATCACCTCAGCAGTAAATAAAATCAACAATATTGATAATACTTACCGAAATTTCCAAATGGAAGTGCTATCTGGTGAGGAGAACATGATGACCAAGGTATAGAGTATTTTGTCTCCTAGTATGGTGTTATATCAAAATTAATGTTTAGAATGAGAATAGATGACAGAGTTTAAAGTATTTTTGGTATCTAGTATTTAATATGTGAGAATGCGAGCATTTATATATACTATTGATGGGAGTACAAATTTGATGCATTCAGGAAGAATGTATGCTAATATGCAGGGTGGGCAAAAGCAGGTTTACAGTTATTCGTTTGAAAAATAATACAATAGTTAACAAATAACAACATAAGAATAAACTCTGCTTCACATGCAACTGTAAACCTACTTTTGCACCACCCTATATTGCAATTTTGAATAGGTATGTCCTTTGACCTAGCATTCCATTTATAGGAGGTTATCCCAAGGATATAATTAAGCAAAACTGTAATGATGTATGTACTAGGTTCTTCATTGTTATTTTTATATTAACAAAATAAATAAACAAATGGAAACCACCTAAATGTTCATCAGTAGAGAACTGATTAAATTCTGGTATAACAATACAATGGAATATTCCATCATTAAAGGTTATTTAGCTCTATATATATTAAAATAAATTGCCCATTGATGGGTGAAGCAACAAAAAAGCAAGTGTGTAACATAGTTCAATTTTAACTAAATATCTATGTAAGTATGTACATACATCAGAATGTTCACAGTGGACATATTTTTATTTTATGTAGTTATTGGTGACCTTTGTTATCACTTTTATACTTTTCTACTGACCACATTTATTTTATAAGAAATATATATTTCAAAGAAAAAAGAATTTAAAATATGTAGGAACAGATTCCTGATATAAAACACTTTATAATCCTCTACCCCCCAAATCATCTGGAGTGCTGGATATAATGAACTGTTTTTTAGCCAGAAGTCTTAGATTGTGATATGTTAACATGAAATTTTGTACCATGCTAGGAGATAGGCTAACCTTTCTTTATAACTTGACAAAAATGTTAATAACAAAGGCCACTCTTAAAATGTTAAACATATCTTTTAAACAGGACTTTATGAAACTCAGGACAGAATTTATGCAAATTAATTATTTAAGATTCTAGGCCACATAGCCTTAGATGAATATTATTTTTAAGTATAATATTATTTCTCTATAATTTCATAGTGTCACTATTAAAATACCATTTACTACACACTTACTGTTAGGCCCTGAGCTAAATGCTTGAAATATAACAAATCCGAAGAAGCCCACAAAATAATGATTGTTGTTATTAATATTCTCTTTATGCAGGTGAAATAACAAGGAATGACTGGGCAGGGTGTTTGGAGCCAGGCTTCTGACTCCAGAGTCCATGCATGGTCTTTCCCTGTATACCAAACCTCCACTGCCTACTACTTGTGTATAATGCATGAGGTCTATTATGGCAAATAAAATCTGGATGTGAATCCTTTGATAATAACTGCTTATTTCAGCTGCCATTAAGGCATGCCCTTCAGTCATATGCTGATTGAACATTGTGCATGTTCTTCATTTGGTACTGACTCTTAGGGTAACAGGTAACAACATCATCCTTCTCAAGAGAAGACCAAAAAGTTCTGAGGAACTTCTATAATTTTATCAATGCCTTGTAATTGATTTCCTAAGTCATGAAGTTTGTTCTTAGGGCATATTTTATACCTAATTTTTTACCATAAAATATATGTTAAAGGTCAGTATAATTTCTGTGCTCCAAACAGAGTCACATTTAAGTTTAACTTTAGGAGCTCATGCAACATTTAAGTACCATGTATGAATATTGTGAGTAAAAAGACTCCTGAGAGTGAATTTGGCTGAAATTAATGCTAAGGGAATGAGGTATCAAAGACAGCATGAATAAACCAGCATACTTAGAATCTAATTTTTAAACTAGATCTGTGCCTCACAGTAAGGACCTTAAAAGGGGGAATGGAAAGGAGATTTCAGGAAAAGTAGTCACAAGACATATTTAAACCTTCTAAGTTATGTAGCCAGAAAGCCTTTTAGTTGGCAGAATCATGAGGAAACATTTCCAACTCTGGAGCCTTAATAATATAGCCAGAGCATCTG